ATTTTTAGAAAAGTTTTAAAGCATCCGATAGAGCAAAGCAAGCCCTACAAGATGACATTCTTGCTTTTTGTAACAGCTTTGATTCACCGTAAGCTCAAAGTAAAGATTAAAATGGATTGATTGCTAAAAAATGGACAAAAAAGTAACTCCATCCAAAATAAACCTACGAAATTCTAACTTGCTCACGTATCCCCTTTACACATAAAACGGTTTTATACACTGTTGCTGTACTTTACTCCCGGTTAAAAATCAGAAAAGTGAAATTTTTTTAATGTTTTGGCAATGTGATTATCTGCTGCTCCTTAAAAGTGATTGCATACTACGAGCATGTAGAAGTGCGGACGTGTATTTTCAACTTTTGACAAGCTCTAGTTTTCGAGAAACATGAATTTTAGCGTGAGGTACTAGAATAAGGGAAGCTAACTTTGATAGTTACCAAGGACTAAAGCTTGTAGGAGACTGAAAATTTGCGTCCGTACTTCTACAAAACTGTAGCATGCAATTACTTATGGGAGCAGTAAATTACTATGGCAAAAACATGAGAATTTTCGTTTTGTTAATTACTAATCGAGAATAAAATGCAGAAACGTGTATATAAATGCTTGATGTGGAAAGGGTATACGTGAGCAAGTTAGGAATCTGTAGGTTCATTTTGGACGGAGTTACGACTCTTTGTAGATTTTCGTGACAGTCAAATCGTTTTAGTTTTTGAGTTTAAGCTTAATATGGATCAAAGCTGATGCTGCTTTGCTCTATCGAACGGTGGTTACTCTAAAAACTATTTGAAAAATAAAAGCATATTACTTTCAGTCGAAAGTTGAAACAGACCGAACTTATGGGACAACCCAGTACTTTCAGCGTGGGATTTATGGTTATTGTATGTTGGAAGAACCAGATCTTTCACCAGTAAATGCAAATATTATGTTATGTAGTATTTGCGAGTTTTTAGTTTGTTCGCTTTACTTAAAACTGAAAGAGAAAACAAAATCCAAGAATTTACGGCGATGTACAGTCTGTTTCGATGACAGTAAAGCCAAATTTGGCATGGGAGGAGTCGCACTGCTAGGGTTTTGCGTCACGTCCAGGGCCCGGCACGAGCTTGTCAAAAGAGGTTTTCGAAAACGAATTCCCTTTTGACCCAAAATTTGTTTACGATTTCCCCTTTGACCCCAAAATTGGTCCCAGTGATTCTGCAGTGAACACTTTACCCAAAAAAGAACATTTATTGAAGAAAAAATCAACAAAACAAAGAAAAAAAGAGATCAGATGAGAGATCTTGAGTGATATCAATGATTTGCATCGGCAGCTAGGAAGGGTGGGGGCGGGGTGAGGGGGAGGGGGGGGCTGGGGAATTCGTATCATCCAAAAATGTTTCCGTTCACGAAATCGGCGAGTACGGCTGCTTTAGGTGCTTTTTTCTTCTCATCGTTAGCCTTTACGCGGTTCAAGAAGTCTTGTCTGCAGGTGGAGGGCTTGACATGTTCCACTCGGATGTTGATGCACTTGGGGATGATTTGTCCTCTGTAAAAACAACACTTCAACAAAATTAAACGTTTTGGAAATCGTATGGACTACAACATCTCCATTTTTAGTAGTGTAAGGGAAACAAGCAATGCGTAGTCTACAAATTTAGCTTTCAGCATTCGTGGCTGTCTGGAGAGATTTAGTCTCTTCTATCATCACATAATCTTGACTGACTTGTATTGACAATCTTGAAATCAAAATCGGTATGATCGAAGCACCTTGTGACCTTTTCAAAAAAAAAACAAGGTGCAGTGAAGCCTCAGCAGTAGACAGCGTAGAGAAATCTCATAGAGACAGACGAAAGAAAGCCAAAGATGACGAAAGTAAGTAAATGAGGAATGTGGAATACTATTTGATTGTTAAGTTGGATAGGCAGAAGCAGACAGTGGAAAGCAACGCCTGCCGCCAGCAGTGCCTTCTACGGTACGATAGGACTTCGAATTTATGAAGTTAAAGTGGACGAACGGATAGAGCCGTCACTGCCTTTGCGAACTACTTTTTTGGCACATGCTATTGCATGTTGTATGAGGACCATTAGTCAGCGAAAATGGGGCCGAGCTGCGGCAATTTTTCTACGCGTAAAATGAAAGCTGAGATTACCACAAAAATCAAAATTTGAAGAGGGCGAGATCAAGGATTTTATAGGATTGTAGAAAGCTCTCAAGTTTATTAGCACGATAGGATGATAAAAATCGCGCATTGAATTCTGATGAAAAATGAAAAAAATTGTGAGGTAAACTGGTGCAGCTTCATAATTGGATACCCATCAAACGATGAAAGGCGACAATTTCAGCTAAATGATTTGAAGTAATTTAGTATACATATTCAAAATGTCGCTTTCAAAGCCAACAACATACTCCAAGATAACAAAGAATTTGGCTATGAGTATGATTGTTCCATAATCGTGCCTCTGCCAAAAGCCAAAAGTTTAACGCCTCGGACAGAGTTCACACGATTTGATCGTCGCGATTTAGTCGCTACTAGACAAGTGTTACGAATTCATTGCAGGCCGATCTTCTTATATTTCGGTTGTTATAGTTAGTCAGATTAGTCGTGTTGAAAAACTATCACAACCGAATACAAGAAGATCGGCATGCAATGAATTCGTAACACTTGTTTTGTAACGATTGAATCGCGACGATCGAATCGCGTGACTCTGTCCGAGGCCTAACGCATAAAAATGAATGTTTTCGCATATTCGCGGATCGTCAACGCTACAGGGCGAAGCCGGATTAGAAACAGCCCAGAAATATAATTAAAAGATGAAGAATGAAACAAAAACAAACACAGCAAGAATGGGTAAGAAATGAGCTAAAGTGTCCAAAATCCAAAAGAAGAAGAAAAACAAGTACTGACCGTACACGCTTGTTGACAATGACTCCAACGGCGCTCTTCGTGAGGGGACTTTTCTAACATATTTGGCTATACGTAATTCAACAGATGCAACAACGCGTCTTCACAACCAAACCCATATACACCTGAAGATGTTACATTTATCAGTCAGTGCTATACAGGTAAAGGCGGTTGTCAGCTTACTAGTGAGAGATGCGCAACTGCATCGATAGCAATTTGCCTGTGCACTTGATCTCGCTCCATCATAGCGTCAACAAGTGTAACGTGCCTTGCCAAATATTCCGCGCATCTGCGAACAGCGGACTCTATGTTTACACAACGAGTGAGTAAGCAAACAGTGCAACAGCGAAGTGATCGAACATGACGAAAACGAAGTAGCAGAACAAGAGAAAGAAATTCATGGAACTATCGAAGGATAATAGACCCATTAGGAAGTTTGTGTATTTTCCATTAGGCAATGTTAACCTGAACCCCATTTTTACCATATGTTTTATGTGACTATGTATGTTTGCATCCATTAGTGAAACATATATATAAGAGACCGTTGGAAGCCTTCGGTGTGCATTTGTACCTTTTCTCATTCTAACTCAATGTAGTTTCCTCAACTTCCTCTTCGAACTCTCTTACTCTTGTTTTGTTATTTTGCAAGTAGCGACCGCACCTTTATTTACTTATATCGGCCGTCATGATTCACCGCCGCTACGACGGCTCACCGCGATCTTTTGTAGTCTAGTTGCCTTAATCCGAAAGGTCACTTGTTTCGTCCTATTGCATGATCACCTCCTTGCTAATAAATAGTTGTTGGGAATTGGTTTTGTTAAGGCCGGCGAACATTGAATACCTTACACACGATATCTTCATCAGTCTTAGCATTAGCTGCTCTGCGGAACTATGCCGAGCCTTACATGGAGGTTCCGGCTTCGAACTATATAGCGTTAACAACTAAATTTAAAATTTCAGAAGCATGAGCATTGCTGATGAACGCTTTGAACACCTGCGCGATATTCTAAGTACTATCAGAGACGAAACTCCGATAATTCCTGAAAACCCATCGGAAGAATGGAAAAAGGAGCAGGAAAAAGTTATGGCCGTACCACCTCCGGGAATGCATGTCCTTCGCCCGTTCATTTCCGCCTATCGTCTAGCTACGCTTTTGGAGGAAGAATGCAACTGCCCATTGAAGTATATAAGAACACGAAACATCACACGCCACTGTAATCGTCTATTCGCTCTATCTCTGGCAGCCTTCAATGGCAGCTGCGGACAGTTCATTCCAAATTACTCTTCCTTCACAATTTGTCCAAAATCAGCGAAAGAATATCGTTTTCCATGTAACACATGTCCCAGAAGCTCTTTTCATAATTTGCAAAAACATCTTTACTACAGACATGGTTACTCACTAAGTGCTCCGAATGTTCCTCTGCTTGATTTTTCACCTAACTCTTCCACCCCACTCGTTCTTCATATTGAGCAAGTTTGGTTGATTTTTGGCCAACTTCCCAAAGTCATCCTTCACCCGTTTAACCATCCACGCGAGGACTCTAAAGAGCAGCACAAGGATTCCGACGTTTGGGAACCACGTCCACCTGCCAAATCATACTAACTTGTCTGGTGCCGTATTACTATCTTCCCATAGTATTGTATACTTTCCAACTTGTAGTAACACCATGAATTATTAATTTACTATGTACACAAAATAATATAATAAATAATATTCAAATGAGATCATTCGATCGGGATTGGCCTCCAGCATAGGAACGTTGGGTGGCTGCTGTCCTCGCGCCTACACCATGCACAGTGAAGACGGGTAAGACACATATCCCACTCATGGGACTCGGCGCATCGCCCACACAGGCGATACGCGAAGACAATTCGCACTCGATCTTGAAACTCCAAGTGCACCTCACAGTCGCAGGTTCTATGGCCGTTTACGCCACATACCACACACCCTAATCGAGGGCGGATACTGCGGACTTCAGCGTCTGGCCCCAGTAGAGGTGCCACCTCTTCATCTTCATCGAATTCGTCTTCGTCTTCCGCTGCCTCTAGCGCCCGTTCGAGTGCATTTAAGCGAAGGAAGAGTAGCATACCCTCCCTACGGGTTAGGGGACGGGCGCCTAACCCTAGGATTGGATGATGCGGACCTTCCGGTGAATCGTGACCATCCACCCTCCACACTTCGCTCTCTGATGAGGAACCTTCCGCCAATTGTCCGGATCCTCTGGCACTTCATCCTCATCGTCCTCATGATGGAAACCATTCGGCAATCTGAGATCCGGCATCCTGAGTTCTTCATCTCCATCATCGCCTGCTTCATTCGCTGCCTCAAATACCCTATCTCCATCTTGCCCATTGGCCGCCGCTTCAAATATTCATTTATCATTTTGATTATTCCGTTTCATAAGCACTCTTTTATTACCTCCATCATTCGGTATTTCCAACACCATCCTATCATCCCGATCGTCTTGTGCCTTAGGCACTCCATTAGCTCTACCATTTGGCATCATCTATAAAGTAGGAAATGAAATTACAACCACATCTCCTTTTTTTGCTAAAATGCTAGTACACTTGAAACTCTTCTTTGGATTAGAATAAAATAATCATTCACTCATTTTTATTTTTCATCTTGTTTTCCCGCTAACCTTTATTTGTAGAACCAACAGCGTCCAATACGTCGTCATCAACCACAGCGCGATTATTGCGACACCAACGCAGGGAGCAACGAAGAGAAGCAATTTTCGAAGCGAACCGAAGGAAGCCGACAATGTCAAAGGAAAGAAGATCAAGCACGCCAGAGGAACAAGAAGAAAGTAAACCAACTACGTCACAAGAAAGAAGCGTAACACCTTCTATCTCGGACAAGAAACTCCAAGAACAAATATACAAGGCCTGCAAGATACTGGGAAACAGATTGGACAAGTTCTCAGGCTCTGGGGAAAAACTCTTGAGGAATTCTTGAGTGAATACTCGGAAGTGACGCATGAGCTTGCTATCCCGAACCTGATTTCGCAGAAATTACTACCACTCTACCTGACAGGTGGAGCGAAACTGAAGTACCAACAGATCCCGAATCGAGAGAAGATACCTTGGAAGGATTTGGTAACGGAGCTAGCCAAGCGAATGAAGAATACCTCTCTTCTCAGCAATATCCGAGATGAGCTACATAATATGGGCACCGTGGGAGAATTCGCCAAGAAAATTTACAACAAAACGAAGATCGCTTTCCAGGGACAAGGACAACCACTCATTAAGCAGATGGCCATTGATTTCTTTATTAAGGGCCTCAATCCCGAGATCAAGAAAGCGGTTAGAAGACTACCTGACACGGACGAATTCGATGAGTAGTATGCAGTGCAGAAAAGGAATCTCGCATCCTGGAACGGGAAAGGAAAGAAGACAGAGACGCCCTCCAAGCCGTCAATGCTCTTCTTATGGATGAGAAAAGCAATCGGCTTGAGCAGCAGTTGAGTCAGATGAAAGCAACACCACGACAGAAACCCACCAGTGATCAGGATAGAAATAAGTTCAGGTAGATACAGAGGACACTGCGACCTATCCAGAATCCTCCCTTCTTCGGCCCGCGAGGATATTATCCCCGATACCCATCTTTCCGTCAACGTGCACTCCCATTCTACAATCGCAGAATGTACAACAATAGATTTCCACCAGTACAAGAAAGAAGACCCTATGGCTATGGAGCACCATCATATGCACAATATAGACCCCTTTCGATAAGTGATGCTTCAGCTCCCGCACCTCCCAGCACCTTCGCGAGAGGAAGGATCAATTCTCCAGGGATTCACTTACTGTGTATCATGACTCTGATACTGTGCAGTGGATTCACAATTGCGAAATACCAGATATGTGGCACAAACCCATATTCGAACATCTTTTCACTTCCAGAATCATTCGATTGTACAACCCCGACAAACGCACCCATGCTACGAACTACGATGCAACTGTTTGCAGATATTTCCAATCCATTCTGGAGTAATGCAACTAAGTGCTACAGAGATGCTATTGAGGTATCTATAAGCAGTTTTCTCCGTATTCGTACTACCACCACCATATTGCGACGTCGCCAGTTGTCGATCCCTCAAGAACTATGCGCAACGGCCAGGACATCAAGAAAAATACATGATCATGAATTGATTCTGCAGTCTGACGGATTATGGACCACTAATGAAATAGAGGAAGATGACATTGCGATACCACTATGGGGGACCAGGAACTATCTTCGCAGTGTATACACTGTAGAGGAAGGACAAGTCGCCACTTTCGACGGACAGCACGTCATGAGTCCATTGGGCGACACCGAGAACTGCTCGTACAGCCAAGGATACTGTCTCACACAGGAATACACGATCATATGGAAACCAACTGAAGTCACACCTTCCTCCAGATTCAAACATGTTGGAACTTTCGAAGCATTCGTTACCCTAAACTACATAGTCCTTCCCCACCACAACCTCGTCTTCCAATTTTCTGAGGATTACCTTCTGCACGAACAACTCACCAGATATTCACAGTTGGGCACCAGTTACCTTACGACATCGAACCATATCATCACTTTTCCCCAAGTCCCACAAGACCTTACCATCCAAGATTATGTATTGCGCTGGCTTATCAAGGAAGAAGAACAAAGCGTGCTATACGACATCTTACGGATAAAAATGGTAACACCTTTCCGTTTGAAATTGTGCCGATGGAACCTGTATTTCTGACCAAGCGATTGTTCGGTGTTAGACATCTCAGAAGAATTCCAGTTTTCAATACGCGCCCGATAACATGGAACAAGATCCTCTACGAGCTAAAACAATGGAATATTACTAATAACGATCTTACTCGGGCGACCCGGTACTATAAAATGGATGATCCAAGGCACATTGTCCTACGTACGATACGGTACGGCGAATATCGCATGAAGCAATTAAATTTATTTGCGGAATCCGCGAAGGTAACACCTCCAAATTATGCCGTGACCAACTTCCGACGAGACCTAGAACTGGGTATTTCTCCGATATTCGACGATTATCTTGAGAAGGAGTTTGGAAGAATCGAATACAACATGCCAGGATCGTTAGACTCAGAATGGAAGTCTAAAATCCCCTATTTCAACGTCACCTTAGCAGCGCTGGCAACAACTTCTCCGGCCCCGATAACTCCACCAACCACGCTAGGCAATCCGACTATGACAACATCATCACCCCGAACAGTTCCCCTGACCACAACGTCACGAATTTCATCAGCGACACAAACGACATCAGCCCCACAAACAACAACTCTAGGGACAACGACGACTTCACGAAGAACAACAACCTTGACGACAACAACAACAATACGAACAACGATGACGTCCGGAACTCCTATGAGGACATTCAAATCGATAACAAGAATATCACCTGTTCGAAATACTTTGACGACGACGACAATTCTACCATCAACGTCTACCAGTCCAATCAAAACACCCTCTACAAAAGGGACCTTCCTTTCTACCACAACTAAAATTAGTAAAGCAGTATCATCGCCTCAATCGCCGGAGACAACACTTTTGATGAAACATCATACCCAACCATCAAGTACTTCGGAGAGGACGTCGACGATACCAACGAGTACTACCTCTTCCATTTCCCCATCCACAATGTCAGAAGTCTATCACCTGTATTACCATACCCCACTACCCACCCTACAACCCGTAATAGAGGCCGAAACACCAGCCTCCACCCCCATCATGGGAGGAAATTTTGACGCGATCAACGAGATTTGTCTCTATGGATTGACGGTACCAGTAGTGGACTCTATACTATCAACGGTATCAGTAGTGGATTCGGTATTGACATCAATTATACCCGCCTCAGCGACGATAATACCAACAACGGCTGAGGAAGAGGAAAACGCTTCAACAACAGTAGAAGCTGCAAACTTCTCTACAACATCTTCAATATTTTTTGTGCCCACACAACCACCTGATACGGAAAATATTTCCCCACAAAATTTTGCGTTGCGACGTCAATTTATTAATATCTGTGTCCGACAATATCTCGGAGCACAACGAATACGTACCCTAAGCTTGGTACCCTACATGGGCCGCCAAGATTCTGTTGGGAAGAACTGACATCACGGCCGTACGGACTGCGGACAACTTATTAATTACGAAATGTCGCCAAGTTACACCAACCTTCGTCTATAATAATCATACGGTTAGTGGAACATGTTACATATTGACACCTGCCAGGATTGACGAGGACCTTTGGTTCCAAATACCGGGAACACAGGATTTGATACAGACATCTGCCACCGTTCCCTGCCCTTACTTATCACCAAGATTCCAACTCGACACAGAAGCTTATACTGCCCAATGCCGTTATTAACGATAGAGTGAAGCCTTTTCTTTTCGACACTCCACCTACATTCCACCGCCTGTTTGACAATCACGCCTTATCATTACTTCCACACGTGGAGGCAATCAGACAAGAGCAAGCAAATGTGGTCTCGCGACTCCAGAAAAGAGGAATAATTGAAGAGACATTCTCACGGATACGGAATACCAGCATGTCCCTGGGTCAGTCTCTATTATCCCTTTATGAGTCAACAACACAGAAGCTTTCGGATGGCGTAGAAGATATCAAGTGGTCAGTTATTTACACCATACTCTGGATTGCAATACCCGCCACTATTATTCTACTTTGTGTTGGAGCTTGCGTTATTTACGTAAAGCTCTATTTCCTTAGACGCGCAACTTCGACCGCCGCGTCAGCCATGTTCGACATCGCCAAGAACTTCACCCCGAAACGGAAGACCAGGAAGCAGAAACACAAAGTCAATTTAGTAATGGTGGATTTGCCACCAAGGGAAGAACAACCTCTCTTCGTACCACATATCTATGCCATACAAACGGAAGCGCAACATTTGCCATACTTGAAGGTCAAAATTGGCAGTAACTCGGTTACAGCGTTATTGGACAGTGGAGCAACTATATCGTACATGAGGGCATCAACGTTATCACTGATTGGAGGTACGAAATCGCCCATGGGAGCATCAAGAACAGCGACAACTGCAAATGGCACATTAATACAGTTGTCAGGTACCGTTTGTCTGCCAGTTCAGATAGGAACACACGTTATTTCTCATTGCTTCTATGTAGCAGCAGACAAGGATTGTCCAGTCCCACTTTTGCTAGGATCGGACTTCATCCGTGCTTTAAACGAAAACGGTTTATTGGTTTCCCTTGACCTCCATCACAAAACCATACGAATAGGACCAGAAGATATAGACCTCGTGCCCATCAATTATATCACACTTGCGGATATATCACCTTACGAGGTACGCCTCGTCAACGACATGTACTGCCTAGACGGACTAATAACATAGTGGAAGCCCATATCGATGGACTAACGTGGCCAAGATGTAAAGACTTCCTTATTGAAGATAATCTACGACCAATGGATGACATTTTTGTCATCAGCCGAGCTCTCGTTACGCCAAACCCAGACGGGACTTGTTACAT